TTATACCATTATTGTAACCACCATATTATTTTTCAATCTAGTATCAGTTACAAGACTAAATTTTTAATTTTTCCAATTAACGACAATTATCGAGTTTTTTTTTAGTTGTCGCAATACAAACGCACACATATATTTATTATTATTATTATTATTATTATTATTATTATTATTATTATTATTTTGAATACTACGAGTGTGAGATGGCTTCCAATCCAACCTTATTTTTTGTCTCTTTTAATTTTATATTACTAGAAAAAATTGTAATTCATGACATACAAATTGGCCATATAGAAACACATATGCATACATATATTAATTTTTTGAAGGTTAAAAAAGGGAGGCCCCCTTAGCATGGCCTATGCTATTTCTACATCAAAATTGAAGACTTTAGGTTCAATGTGGTCACAAAATTAAAGCACACATTAGGTATATGCATCTACCTCATGGGGTTTGATTGACAGCCCTTCTTGACAAGTAAGTTATTTGCTTTTAGTTGGTCCCCTTACAATATTTATTTTTTGGACACCGATCAAATATTGAAGTTTTCCTATAAACAAATTAAATACATATCTATCCAATATGTTATTTAACCTTACATATATGCAATGTACTATTTTAGCAATATTTAAGTTCTCTTTTCGTTGTTACTCTTAGTGGAGTTCATTTGAGGTGCAAACAACTTGTTAAGGTGCAAATAATAGGAATTGTGACAATCTTTTTATAGAGTCACTCGTTAGTTGATGTATTGAGACATGTCTGAAATATATTTATTTCAGAATGCACATCAACACACAATTTGTTGGTAATTGTTTATTACTGCAAAGTCGAGTCATCGAGTGAGTGTACAACATATCCGTGATGAGGATTAAATCTCAATTCGACAGGCCTTCACTCGTGAAAAAATTGAATTATAATAGCGAACTCTTTATATAATAACATAAAAGTGAGTCAACTTGCTCGATATAGGTTTGCTCCTTGCACCAATCACGATGCATTAATTAATCTTTAATCTTAGCCGGCGAGATAAATTCTCTAGAAATTTATATCCAGTCGTTCACTAACTTAGGTATAAGATAATTGAATGACTTCAAGAAGCTCAAACAATACCAAACACTCTCAAAATTGAGGATCAATCAAGTGCCCACAATTTTAGGTAGAGACAAAAACCCCTCTAAAGGCAAATCACAAAGGTTTCATCATCCAAT